CTCAAACATCAAGAAAAAACCAAAACCAAAATCACACCCAAGGATAAACAAGTAAACTCTACAACTCCCAAATTAAACAAAAATAATATACCATAAATAAAAGGACTAATTGGTTTGAAAGAAAACTTTCAAGACTAAATAGAGCAACATTTTCCCAAATGGGATTTTTGGGTAAGTTTTCCAATTTTTTTCATATTTTAGTTATTTTTAAATTTTTTTAAAAGACATATAGATTAAGTGAATCTAAAAAAATAAATAAATTAAAATGTACAAAATTTCAACAAAGATAAATAAAAACCCATTCAATAACAATTTTTATAAAATCAAACCAAGTAAAATTTTAATTTTTGTCTTTTTATTGTTTTTCCCATTCACAAATCTCCACAATACATTAATGTGCCAAGGTGGACCTTTCATTTTATGGTTGTGTTTTGTCCGTAATTGGATAGGCTAAAAGGACGGGGGATTAAGAGAAAAATATTATTTCAAGACTATCAAATCTTTTTGCGAGTTGGGACAATTATATAAAAAAAATCTCACAGTTTAAGTCTTTTAATAAAATAATTTTTTAATTTTTCATTATATTAATTTAAATCTTAATATTTTGATTTATTTTTAATTTAAATCATTCATATTTCATTAAGTAAAATCAACAGAAAAAATAATGTTTTAGTCATTAAATTTCATATTGACAAATATAAAATATTATTTTGCATTGAGTTAAATGATTAAAATACTCATTTTTACATTGATTTTAGATTTTACTTAACAAAAAATAAGCAAATAATTTAGATTAAAAATAAATTAAAAATTCGGAGTCTAAATTGACAAAATTAAAAGCTCATAGTTTATTTTATTACAATAGTCAGAGCTTGAGATTTTTTTATTTTTTTTTTTTTTTTTTTGTGATTTCCCCAAAAATGTCATTTTATGGTTATACACTCTCAAAATGATGTACATGATATTATAAGAAATATATAATTAGAATTAAGATGATTATTTAAAAAAGAATTCAAATTATTTAGATATCAAAAGAGCTACAAGCATCACTCAAATTTCTTGAAAAAAAAGTATGTACATAAAATTGTTATAGGATCCAAATTTAATTAATGTATTATATAGAGTTTATATAGAACAATAATTTTTTTGAAAATATTTTGAGATAATTTAAAAAAAAAAATCAAGATTTGAACCTTGTAATAAAATAAACCCTACCTTTTCAATTTTGTCAATTTGAATCCAAATTTTTTTATTTGTTTTCAATATAAATTATTCACCTATTTTTTATTGAGTAAAACCTACAAAAAAAAGAGAATATTTTAGTCATTAAACTCAATATTTTATATATAAAATATTATTTTTTATTAAGTTTAATAATTAAAATACCTTTTTTCTGTTGATTTTACTTACTAATAGAAATAGATAAATAGTTTAGATTGAAAATAATTCAAAAATTTAAGATTTAACAAAATTAAAAAATCAAAATTTAATTTGTTTTAAGGGTTAAACACTTTTGTTTGGTTCAATTTTTGAATCAGTTTTTCAAAACCTAAAACCCAAAACTTGTTTGGTTTAGGGTTTTTGAAAACTCATTCAAAAATTCCAAACTCAAAACCCAAAACTTATTTGGTTTAGGATTTTTGAAAACTTATTCCAAAATCCAAAACCCAAAACCTGTTTGGTTTAGAGTTTTCACAAAATTGATTATTTTGGTTTTCACAAATTGGCCAAATATTTTTTTTATGTTGTACAATTTGAAGAACGCTAAATCAAATTTAATAAATATATAAAACATTAAAGTTGTATTAATTTTTAAACTAGGTCAATTTTTTGTGTGTATATTTTCTATTCTTCAATAATTTTATAAAAAGTTACATTTAAATGTGAAGCGTTTTAAATGTATGTAAATTGAGTTGATATAAAACTAAAAAAGAAGTATTAAAATTTTTAAAAAATTCATAAAAAATTTAAAAAATAGAGTGAAACTTTGCCCTATAAATTATATTAGATGCATGAAAATGTAAATTTAGATTAGGTATACAAAACAAAGTAAATAAACTTTACTATAATATTGTAAAAATTTTTTTTTATTACAAGACAAAAAAATACATGATCCAAAAAAACTCAAAAACTAATTTTGAATTTTCAAATTTCTAAAAAACTATTTTTAAAATACACAACTCAAAACTAGTTTGAAAACTTATAATAAAACAAGTTTTGAATTTTTAAAACTCTTTTCACAAAATTAACTTTCAAAACTAATTTCAAAACAAAATGAAGCACATAAGAATTTTTTTTTTTTAGGGGGTTGTGATTTGTCCAAATATTTTTGTGTTAAAGTTATGTTGTGTACTCTGCATAAAACAAAGAAAAAAAAGGGAGAAAGCACCATTAAATCCCTAATTTGGGAATGTTAACCCATTTAGTCCCGACGTTTTTTTGTTGGACTAATAGGTCCTATTTTATGTGTAAAGACATTAGTACCCATTTTTTTACGCGTCTGGGTCAGAAATTGAGGGGGTAATTTTGGGTTGGTGTTTATGTATAATTTACCGAATTGCCCAAAAAGCTTACTATAGACCTTTTTTAGATTTCTCTCATCTTCCAAACATCCGATGTTTTTGATGTTTGTGGGTGTTTCAAACATCAGATTTATTTAAAAAAAATTTACCATCATCAAAATATCATAAAAAATCGGCAACATCATCAAATCATCATCAAATATCATCGTGAACAACAGCAACATCAGAACATCAGATTCATTTTAAAAAAAATTAGAATCATCAAAACATCATAAAAAATCGGCAACGTCATCAAATCATCATCAAAACATCAGATTCATTGATGTTTGTGGGTGTTTCAAACATCAGATTCATTTAAAAAAAATTTACCATCATCAAAACATCATCAAAAATTGGCAACATCATCAAATCATCATCGTGAACAACAGCAATCCGAGGACTGAATCGGAGTGGTGGAGTAGATCGGCTTGGTGTGGGTCGAGAGAGGCGGTGAAGCCGTGATAGGCGGTGGTGTAGGTGTAGAGGAGGGAGTCGGAATCAGATGAGAGAGATTGGAGATGAGCGGAGTACCAGTCATGGTGGGTGGTTCAGCTCTTGTGGTGTGTGACCATCCCACAAACCCATCTGAGTGTCGAGACCGAGAAACTCAGGGGTTCGAGTGGTATGGAGGGTGTAGACGGTGTCTTCATAGACTCCGAGGACTGAATCAGAGTGGCGGAGTAGATCGGCTTGGTGTGGGTCGACAGAGGCGGCGAAGCCGTGGTAGGCGGTGGTATAGGTGTAGAGGAGGGAGTCGGAATCAGAGAAGAGAGATTGGAGATGAGCGGAGTACCAGTCATGGTGGGTGGTTCAGCTCTTGTGGTGTGTGACTATCCCACAAACCCATCTGGGTGTCGAGACCGAGAAACTCAGGGGTTCGAGTGGTATGGAGGGTGTAGACGGTGTCTTCATAGACTCCGAGGACTGAATCAGAGTGGCGGAGTAGATCGGCTTGGTGTGGGTCGAGAGAGGCGGCGAAGCCGTGGTAGGCGGTGGTGTAGGTGTAGAGGAGGGAGTCAGAATCAGAGGAGAGAGATTGAAGATGAGCGGAGTACCAGTCATGGTGGAGAAGCAGATTTTTGGGCCAGAGATTTGGAAAACTTGTTGCAGACCTTTCTTTCATTGAATTGGTATCATCATCATAAGGTATAGTTCATGTGTATACAGATATTTGGGACTGTCTTCGTGGTTCGCAATCGTTTGCAACGTTTGTTGGGAAAAGGCCGATGATGTTTTGATGATGGTGATGATGTTTTGCGATGTTGTTCGATGATGTCGATGATGTTGATGATGTTCTACCGCAGGGGCTGCCATTGTTGGAGAAATTGGGAGACCTGCAAAATGAAATCAATATGGGTAAAAATGTAAACTCTATATACAATATATCAAAAACATATATTATACAAAAAATAAAAAGGACTAAATAGTTTAAGAAAAAACACTCAGGACTAACTAGAGCAACATTTATCAAAATGGGATTTATGAGTAATTTTTCCAAAAAAGAAGTTATTTGATTTAAAAAAAATTAATCACCTTATTTGGTTTGAGAATTTTGAATCCATTTTTAAAAATTTGAATTTTTTTTTTCTATATTTTTTGTTTTTACTATTTTTCAAAAATATTTAAAATATTTTTTTAGTTATTTTTAGATACACCTAACATAAATACGCCTAAAAAATATAATATTTGTAAAAAAAAACTTTACAAAATCCATTAACCTAAAATATAAAAATTCAATACATTTTCTTAATCTTCTGTATTTTTTAAAATATTTTTTTATAAATATATTACTTTTTTAAGTACATCTAATAAAAAAATTACTTAAAATATTAAAAAAAAAAACCAAACCATGAATATTATTTTCAACAATTGATTCACGCAGGCCATATAAAATCCCAACAATGATTGAGATCATTTTTTTTTTAGGCCTCACAATCATTTTTAAATCACAATCATTAATAGTATATCTTACATACATATATATATATATATATATGGGTGAATCTCGGCCAATTTCCATTATTGGGGCATTTTGAATATTTTAGTCCCACTTTAGGGTGTGTTTTTAACTTTATTCCCGTTATAGGGTAAAACGATTTTTCTAATGCCGTTTTTCAGAAAACGGTTTTTGAAAAATCGTATTTTCTGATTAAAATAATAATAAATTTTGAACCCAGAAAATGGCTTTACAAAAGCCGATTTTACTTAATTTTTAATTAATTTTGAATTAATTAAAAACGGTTTTGGTAAAACCGTTTTTACATTAAATTTTTTTTAATTTATATTTACAACATAAATATTTTTTACCAAAAAAATATTTTTAATAAAAAACGGTTTTAGCAAAGGCGGTTTTTGAATTTTTTTTTTTTAATTAAAAACGGTTTTATAAAAGCCGTTTTTTGACCAAATATTTTTTTAATTAAAAACGCTTTTCATTACAAACAAAACGACCCCTTCTCCCTTTCAACTTTACGAAAGCCGTATTTGATATCGCACCCATCTTCTTCTCCCTCACTCAGCCGATCTTCTTTTCCCTCACTCAGCCGACGACGAAGAGGAACACCACTCTCCCTCACTCAGGTTGTATCGCATACATGAGGGTTTTCATTTTAGATTTGGGATTTTAAATTTCGAAATTAGGGATTGAGATTTCGGATTTTAAATTTCGAAATGAGGGTTGTAAACTTTTGATTCAAAATTAGGGATTCAGGAACACCACTCTCCCTTTCTCTCGTCAGTTCCCTAAAAAACCCTAGCCCAACAAGACCTCTCTCTTTCTCTCTCTCTCTTTCTATGTTGTGATAAAAACAAAAACACAGAGATGGAGGAGTTTTTGTATACTGATATCGAATCTTTATGTGCAAAACTCAGGTATCAAGAAAAGCAGCTCAAACTCAAAAGAAGGCCATTGCTTTTTTTAAATTTTTTTCCTCCAATTTTTATTTCTTCAAATTATATGATTACATGCTCTCAAAACCCAACTATATGTATGTATGTATGTTTGTGCTTGCATCTATTTCTTTTAGTCAATTTAACTTCTTCTTGCCATCACTTTATAGAATTATGCAGGAAATTCTGCTTTAATCTTGAGACATATGTAGTGGAAATTCTGCTTTAAAAATTTATAGAATTATGTAGTGGAATTTTGAAATATTGAAATATTGAGACATAATAGTGTGTTTGGAAATGTATTGGGAATATAGGGCAAAATTGTAGAACAAAAGTAGGAATAGCAATGAAGTAGAGTGGGATTGGATTTGTGGTGTTCTATTCCTACACCATTCCTAGTTGGGGCAATGCTATTGGCCTTGGCTCATTATTAGGATCCTTGCTTGGGGCATCTCCAATGGAGATGCTGAGCACACTACACAGATTTTTACAAGTATACACAACCCACGTTTGGCCATAAGCTAATACACCTAAAAAATCAAAATTTTATATATACTAGGGTAATACACCTAGAAATCAAAATTTTATAAAAATCAAAATTTTATATATACACCTAAAAGATCAAAATCCTAAAAATCAAATTTTTGTAAATGCATAGCCATATGTCTTGTGAGCATAAAATTGAAAATTAGATAAGGTAGTTCATGTCTCATAAAATGAACCCATATATATATATATATACTAGGCAGGGAGGCTATGGCCTTCCATGGTTTGTGTGCATGTGGTACTCACCCTGATGGACTTTCAGGATGGTATAGAGTTTGAGTTGGAAGTAGAGAGAGTTTGAATTGAAAATAGCAAGTTCACAAGAAGTAAAGTTCGAATTGGAAGTACGGAGAGTTTACCATTGCTTTGTTAGTTTGGCCAAATGATGCCTTTGGCCTTCAAATCTTCAATTAATAGTCTACATATATATACAAATATCAACAATACAATGGTGTGGAAACTATCTAATTCTTCCATTTTATAACCAAATGATTGCCTATTATATATTTTAATTAATAGTCTACATATGTATAAATTTCAATGATCTAGTAGTATGAAAGCTATCTACATCCTTCCACCACCTTATGATGAATAAATTCTACAATTATCTACCTAATTATAGGGATTTCTACAAAATTTTACATAAATCTAAAATCGAATTCGTAACTCAAATATTTGATGAAATTCCCAAGTTGTGACATTATTAGCCGCCTAGTACGACCACATCCTTAACGCAAATTCCTCGTGAAAGCTTTTGATCTTCTCTTCGAATTGATGCAAGAGTTTTGCTAACTCGCTAACTCTGAACTTGTCAATTTCAAGTAGTGCATCTATTTTACTTGGTATTTTTAACACATCATTGGAGTTCCTAGCGATTCCAAACCTTTAAAATATCCAAATTCAACCTTTTAAATCTCCAAATTGTTACTGATGTTATACAATTTTATGGTAAAACCATATTTTTGTGATAGAGTCCATCCTTTAGGGCCAGATATATAGATGCTAGGGTAAAATGCCCATGCCTTGCACGGGGTTACAGGTACTATTGTGATAAATTTAAATTTAAGAAATACACACATTCTAATAGAGTTTAGAATTTTTTTTTTTAAAAAAATGAGCTTTTATTTTTGTCTTCATCTATTTTTGAGTTTTTTTTTAGATTTTAATTAATAATCTATTTATTTTGATGCACCTAATATAAATATACTTAAAATTTTAATATTTATGAGAAGTCAACTTTTACATCATGCATAACCTAACTACAAATTGGCATAATAAAAAATATCGTAACTAAGCCAAAAACTTTTACATCATTAACCACAAAATTTTGGACATTTTATTATGCTAATTTGTAACGAGATTATACATTTTGTTACTGATGTTACACAATTTTATGGTAAAACCATATTTTTGTGATAGAGTGCAACCCTTTCGGGCCAGATATGTAGATACTAGGGTAAAATGCCCATGCCTTGCACGGGGTTACAGGTACTATTGTGATAAATTTAAATTTAAGAAATACACACATTCTAATAGAGTTTAGAATTTTTTTTTTTAAAAAAAGAGCTTTTATTTTTGTCTTCATCTATTTTTGATTGTTTTTTAGATTTTAATTAAAAATCTATTTATTTTGATGCACCTAATATAAATATACTTAAAATTTTAATATTTATGAGAAGTCAGAAAAAAATTTCACTAAAAAATAAAAAATATGAAAAAATGCTTATTTTTTCTTCTTTTTATTTTTATTTTTAGTAAGTTTTTTTTTTCTTTTTTTCTTTGTTTGTTGTTAATTTTGGCTAGTACTTTGTTCGATGGTACTGTATGGGTATGCATATGTGATGTCAAACTTGGGTTATAAATTGATGTTAAAGAAATCAAATGCTGTTATTAAAATGTGATAACTTTCCCATCTTCTCTAATAGGATCAAAAATTCGTTTCCGTACGTTCTTTCGGTTAGGTTGGAAATGAAAATAGAATTGGAAACTTTTCAAACTTTTTGAAAACATGAGAAATAACAAAAGGATTTGTAAGTGTATGAAAATATTTAGGAAAAAAAACAAAAACTTTTATTGATGTTAATAAATTCTCAATAGTTCATTACTTGAACATGTTGAGTGTTATGAATGCTTAGTTGGATAAAGGGGTTTCTCATTTTAAGAAAAATATATTAAAAGAAATTGCGAAATTCTTGTAACAGTAGGCATGGAAAAATAAACAATCGGTGCATTGCTCGTTAATGGATTCTAGACTACGAGCACAATTGGTAGCTAATTTGTTATCACAATAAAGTCTCGAAAAATCTTTTTTTGTTGGTCTTAATTCTTGTGGTGATTTTTAGTCAAACGAAGTTTAAAGGGTCTATGTGTCATTGATTTGCACTTGATCTGACATCTGTTTGACTGGCATTTACTTTACGAAGTTGCAAAGATAACCTCTTTAAATAATACAAGAAATAATTTGTAATACCAACAGACCCATGCCTAAAGGCACTCCTGTGTACAAATAGATAATCCTTCTAAATAATACAAGAAATATAAGTCATGTAGGATGCTATTATATATGGAGCAAATAACTTTCATTTCCATGTTCATGTCGATATGCCACTTAAATATTTTGTAATACCAACAGACCCATGCCTAAAGGCACTCCTGTGTAATATATGTGGTGTTGGCTCTCAAATGTTCTTACTTTATTATTTAGAAATAATTGAGTTACTTTGAATGCAAAGTGTAGGTGTGGAAGTTGTGAGCATTCTGTTCTATTGGGGTGGAAAGATTTTGCGCAATCGCGATGAAGGTGTGTCCTACGACATCGAACCTCAGGGGTTGTATAATGTGCACAGGGGGATAACATTGGCCGAGTTGCAGGCTATGATGGTGCCGAAGGTTGGTACGCATGGGGAAATAATGCGATTAGAGTTTAAATGTAGACTCCCATGTTGAGGGAAGTATAGGTTGCTGCCAATCAAAGATAATGAGACCTTAAGTAATGTTTTAGAGCTCCCACATAAATTAGGCCCTGATTATTTTTTGGAAATCTATGTGGAGAAGGAGAGCAATTTTGGCGGCACAGAGATGCCAATTCCGGTGGGTGGGACATTCACTCAAATGTTGACACAATCGCAATCCCCTGACAATACACTTATACAGTCTGCACACAAGTTCCCTGAAGATTACCCTCCATTCAATCATTCTCAGAGTTACAATCAATTAAATGCATCACAGAACCTAGATGGTTATTACAATGCCGGAGCAGGTCCAAGTGCCCCAACAACGTATAATCTGATGGTTCTTACAACCCCATATCCCCACTGGAATGAAGAATGTCCTCCGGTTTGTAATGTTCAACGTACACCGGAGATGGCTGTACAAAATTATGCATACTCCGATGATACAGTGCCATTGTTTGACGAGGTTGGAGTTAGTGATGAAGATTCCGTGGAAGATTTGGATGGCGCATGGGAAGGTGCGGACAATGACTCCGGTGATGACGAGGTTGGAGGGCATCATGATATACAGGAGGTACACACAAATATCCATATCCCTTTTTACCATAATTTGCATTTCGACAATGATGGTTCCATCACTAGCCGTGATGTTGTCGAACGTTGGCCATAGTGGGACTTCGAAACTGCTAATTTGGAGAAAGGAATGATGTTTACTGATAAGAAAAGACTAGTGCATGCTGTTCAGTTGTATAACCTGAAGCGCAATCGAGAATGCAAGGTCGTAGAATCCAAAGGAAACAGTTGGGTGGCCGAGTGCAAGCACGGCTGCAACTGGAGAGTTCGGGCAACGAAGTTGAAAGACAAAGATTTCTTTCAAATTAGAAGGTTCGAAGCGCCGCATCAGTGTGTATACCCTAGAATGAATAGGGACAATTGCAACCTCAAGTTCGAGGTCATTGCTCATTTCATCAAGGCACAAATTGCGGTAAGTGCCATGCTGGATACATTATTGTTTTTATGATTTCATTATGACTGTAAGGTATTCAAATATAATGTGTATTTGCAGATATCACCAGAATTGCCTCTTGCTACCATAATTGAGGTCGTGAAGGAGAAGTTTCAGTTCACTATATCATATAAGAAAGCGTGGCTTGCAAGGACGAAGGCAGTTGCAATGGTGTTTGGTGACTGGGACGAGTCGTACCGAAGGTTGCCTAGATATATGGCTGCATTGCAGTCATTCAATCCAGGCACAGTTGTCATGTGGGACATGATTCCGAATTTGCACTCTACCTCAATCGGAACTGAAATGTACATGAACTATGTGTTCTGGGCATTTAAACCTGCAATAGAAGGCTTCAAGTATTGTCGTCCAGTGATATGCATTGACGGTACACACTTGTACGGGAAATACGAAGGGAAGATTGTTGCGGCCACTGCAGTGACTGCTGCGGACAAGATTGTACCTCTTGCCTTTGCTGTTGTTGACAAGGAGATGATCGAGAGTTGGGGTTGGTTCATTACTCTGCATAGGGGACATGTGTGCCGTGACCGAGAGGGGGTCACATTGATATCCGATCGACACACAGCTTTGCTTAGTGCTGTGTCAAGAATTTGGGACAATCCAGCAGTTCAACCAAGAGGATACCATAGGTATTGCTTGCGACACGTATGTAGCAATTTCAATGAAAAATTCGGCAATACAGTAGCCAAGGATCTTGTGTGGAGAGCTGGTTCTGCACGGCAAGTGCGGAAGTTTAATAAGATTATGGACGATATCTACAAGCTCGAGAAGAATGCTGAACGGTGGTTTAGACGGATGAACCCTATTCATTGGACATTGTGCCATGATGGTGGTTGTCGTTGGGGCATATTGACGACAAACCATATAGAGGGCTTCAATGGTGTATTGAAAGGCGCACGCAGTGTTCCCATTACAGCATCAGTTGAGATCACTTTTTATCGGCCCGTGAAATATTTTGACGAGGGCAGGACCATTGCTGAAAATGCAAGTAATCGGGGTCACTTGTACACGACTAATGTTCAACGATGGATTGATGAGCACCAAGCTAAAGCGAATGTGCATATGTTGGTACCGATTAATAGGTAATTTTTATTGGATGCACCGAATTCACTACACATTAACATTTCGCACTCGTCGATCATTGATGTTAGTCTATATTTAAACATATATGCATATTAATCCATGTACATACATTTTTCCTATAGGGGAATAGGGGAATATGAGGTGAGGACAGCACCGCATGGGATGGGGGGTAGTGCTCGTCAAATAGTTAGTCTCCGACCACCGAGTTGTTCATGTGGGAAGTACACATTATTTCACTTGCCATGTTCCCACATGCTTGCTGTGACAGCAGATTTGGGCGAGGACCCTTTTCCTTTCGTTGCACCAGAGTATAGGTTGGAAGTCCACAAGCGTATCTTCGAGCAGAAGTGTAGGCCCATGCCGCACGAGCACTATTGGCCTGACAATGATTACCCAACTTTGCTTGCTATTCCAGCTCGACAACGTCAAGTTAAAACGGGTCGTCCTCAACATAGCCGCATACACAACGAAATGGATACTTCCAGACATAGTGGATTGCACCATTGTAGTTTGTGTTTGCAAAGAGGGCATGATAAGAGAAAATGTCCAGCGAGAATCCGATCGATTCGACAGTAGTTGTTTGTTTTCTTTATATATTAGTTCCACGCTACTTTCTTTGAATTGGAGTCAATGTAATATTCAATGAATCAATATTCAGTAAATTCATAATGTATTTACGACTTCAATTACTAATGACATAGATTTGGTCAAATGTGGCAAATCTCTTCAATTGCTTTAGTTGTTGCAAGTGTCCTTTGTGCACTGGATTGTGCAAACTTTGGTGCGTTGATGGTCGATTGTGTCCTGACCTCGATGGACACTAGTTTATCTAATGTTAGAAAAATGCAAATATTCACAGAATGAATTGATAATCACCAATATAAATGCAGTTTATATTCAATGTGTGTTTTGCCACATTTTGTTATGTGGGAAACTAATTTTTTTTAAATCTTTTTTCCAAAATCCATTATGTGGGTGAAGGCCCATTTTATGAATTCAATCATTTCTCGGACATTTACTACGTATTCGTATATGCTTAGTTCTTGTAAAAAGTTTGACTAATGTATTTCAAATCTACATAAAACTCTCTTCAAACCTTCGTACTTCTTTCCTGTCCAAATGACAGCTCCTTTAAAGTGAAAGCACGTTTTTTCATGTCATACAGGTTGACGTGACAACACACTGACAATAACTTTTATCACATAGGTACCATGTGAACCTTATCTCCTATGACAATAATGTCAAATGAATTACTAATCACCAACATAAATGCATGTCATATTTAATGCGTTGCCACATTTTGTTACGTCGTGAATTGTTTTTTTAGTTTCCAAACATTCATTACGTGAGGGAAGACCATTTTATCGATTCAATCATGTGTTTTAAATTTAGTATATATTGGTAAATGCTTAGTTGTTCTAAAAAGTTTGAGTAGTGGATTTCAAATCTACTTAAAGCATGGGTTTTCATGTCATAATTTTGGCGTGACAACGCGCTGACAATATCTTTAAACTCACAGGTACCATGTGTACCTTATCTCCTATCACAATAATGTGAAATGAATTACTAATCACCAATATAAATGCATGTAATATTCAATGCGTAGCCACATTTTGTTAGGTGGTGAACTGTTTTTTAGTTATCAAAAAATTTTTCCAGGCAACCATTTCTTTTTGTTTTCCCTAACTTGTTGCAGTTTGTATACCTGTGATATACTGTCAGGTCGTATTCTAATTGTGTCAGCATATGTATGTACTATTGTCAAACATCTTGGGTTCGTTTGGTTTGAATTTCGGAAAAATTTTTGGGAAATTTTCTCTACAAATAAGTTTTTAAAAGTAATGAAACCAAACAAATTTTCTCAAATTTTTTTTTCAAAACTTGTAAACCAAACAAGTTTTCCAAACAAATCTCTCTCTCACACACATCAAATCAATCACTTTTTCCAAAACTCTCTCTCAAAATAATTTTCCAAAACATCTTTTGAAAAAAATCAAACCAAACAACTTTTCGTACTTTTTATCTCTAAAACACATCTCTCAAACACAAACCAAATATACCCCTTGTTATCGGACATCGATTTCATATATGAAAACTTGTGCAGGTCTATGACTCATTTAGCAGAGGAGATCCCATTATTGACTCATCAGCATCGAGCTGATACGATATGACGTGAGTCGGTATGAATTATTTACTTGTAATCGATATTTGAATACTACACAAACACTGTAGTTGTTACGTAATATAATGTGAAACTGTAAATGTTAGTCCATGGATCATCCTCTTTGGACATTTCAATGGTTTAGACAAATTTCCCCAACTGTAAACGTTAGTCCATAGAGAGAGAACGAAGAAGATTATATTAAATGGACCGCTAGCTTAAAAAAAAAAAAAAAGGTTAAAAAGTTGATAATCATCAAGTTTAACAATTACCCCAAGTTCACGCTTATGATATTAATGACTAGAGTATCAAAGAAAGTTGATAATCATCAATTAGAGTTTAGAGTTTAGAACACAAACAATATCAATTATTGACAAAGTGAGTATTTTAGATTGTTCGTTTACTTAAATAACTTTTAACTTATTTCATACTACAACAACTTGCATTAATATAGGATTTTAAACTCTTCAAAATATATTCATTATATGTTATATTAGTCTGTAATTTTTCATTGTATTCATTTGATCCCCAACTTATTTAATTCTTATCTCAATGATGAAATGACGGCTTAGTTATATTTTACGCCCTTCTAATTTAACTGAAAACCACATAAACCCCCATTGCAGTCTACAGTGAAGGGTACAACCCAACTTTGTTAACAAGTATACCAAACATTCTAAAACTTATATTAGTTTTGATGGAGCCTTTTATTTCTATGTCATGACACTGCAAATCTGTGTCTGTATGTATTTATCTTTGTACATTTACACCACTTACGCACTATGCACCATTAAAATGTTGGTTATCTCACCCACTGTTTTAGTTAATAGAAGATGGGTTCATTATGAAATTTCAATTGTCATTTGCACAAGCATTATGTCTTTTACACACAACGTTGTCTTGTGCAGGCGAAAGATCAGCCGAAATTGAAATGCTGACGATCTGATTCCGTCATATGGGACACCGCCTTGGACCATAAAGTCCTACGTTGCTTACTCCGTGCGGGGTTCTACGGGGTGTATCGAATTGGGCCTATTCGATTGGACCACCATCTCGTTACAACTCTCGTGGAGAGGTGGCACATAGAGACGCGCACATTTTATTTTCCTGTTGGAGAGTCCACAGTTACATTACAAGATGTGGCTATTCTATTTGGCCTACCGGTTGACGGACACGCAGTCACTGGAAAAGACCCAGGAAAGAAGTTGGATGATTTGATAGTGCTATGTATGGAGTTGTTAGGAGCAACACCTACAGCAGAAGACTTCATAGGCTCATCGCTTAAGTTGAAATGGATATCAGAGCATTTCCGTCACCTTTCACATGATGCATTCGATGAGACGGTTCATCATTATGCTCGAGCCTATATTTTGTGGCTTATTTGGGGGGGTACTCGTCCCCGATAAGTCACAAAATATAGTCAAGATGATGTTTTTGCCACTACTTAGAGACTTTGACCGTATTTCGGAGTACAGCTGGGGTGGTGCCACATTGGCATGTTTGTACAGGATGTTGTGTCGGGCAACTAAGGCTGATATGAAGGAGATAGCTGGCCCACTAGTGTTGTTACAAGTGAGTTGCAATGACTTGTAGTTTTATCTCACTCAATTGCCATGTTTTCTAAAGTGCCTACTATAATAAATTAATAATGGCATCATTCATTGTAGGTTTGGGCGTGGGAGAGATTGAGCAGGATCGCCCCTAGTCGGAAGTCGAACATTGCTGCTGGCGAGCGTCCCATAGGGGAGGGCGACCAGCTGTTACCACCTGGCTCTCGAGCTTGCAGGTGGAGGGTTCCTTTCAGCCATGAGGTGATATCGACTAATGTCGGTGTCATCTTCTGGGACCAGTTCGACCACATCGTGGAGGGGGAGGTTTGTAATTTGTTCATGTGAATTTACCCATTTTTTTGTTTTTCAACCTCCGTTGTACGAATAGATCTCTAAATTATTGCATTGCTATTGCAGTTCATATGGGAGCCTTACGGGATGGAGGATGACATCATGACCAGCTTTCCATCGTATTGTACCATTGGTCGAGACATATGGATGGCGCGAGTGCCACTTATATGCTTCGATATCATTGACTGACATCTCCCCGACCGGGTGCTTAGACAATTTGGACGAGTTCAGAGTGTGCCTAATCGCTTTGACGCCCACTTGGCTATGCATTTTAGGGATAGGCGTGGCAAAATGGGCATTGATTGGGCAAACGAATACCAGTCATTTATTGGTGAGTGGAACAACAGACGTAACACCATTGTCCATGCTGAGAGGAGCAATGAAGTGCTTACATCTTTGGACCCATACATGTTATGGTTTCGCCGTCATACACGTCTAGTACTTAGTAATCCGAGTGACATTGCTGCCTTCGGATACCAAGGCGTCGGGGGTAGTTTAGAGGGATTGGTAAGTTCTTTATATTCTCCAAAACAACATTTGCTTAAGTTTGTGTATGTTTGTTATTTGGCATTGATGGTTATGTAACACAGCTACCATTACATTATAGGTTCGTAGAGTTGCGAGGGCATATCACGTGGCAGACACTACCCATATTACACGCGATGGTAGAGAGGGATTGGATGCCATTGCCGAGATACGGGAGTTATTGTACGATGGTTTGCAACAGGCACACCGACGTGACCGACTAGATTTCGGCCACTTTGGTGAGGATCCTTATATGGGGGTAGATATTACATCGACATCAATGCCGCACCCGAATATGCCATCCACTGAGCCATTGACATCAATGCCTCCACCGCATCCTACCGCACGTCATGCACATCAATCGGACTATTTCGATATGGAACACTTTGGTGAGGGACCTTCCATGGTCCTGTCCCCTCATGGTCCATCTACAGCAATGCATACACCGCTGACTTCCCCACCTGAATGTACCAATTACACATCCCAGTTTGCCCCTGAGGTAGATCCTCTAATGTCTGAACATACTTCCACACACCATGGCCATATATTGGACCCCTCCTGGTCACCACCCCCATATAGGACAGCGGTTGGTACCCCGGTGACTCCCTTAGCACCACTGTCTACTACATGTCTGTCTACTATGATTCCCTTTGCGTCGACATTCACCGCACCCAACCCTTTCACAGTACCATCATCTCCTACCCCACCATCATCTCTTACACCACATATAACCTTCACCTACCATGTTGATCCACTCATTACCCATGACTTCCACATTGACGGGGAGGGGGAGGGCCAGGTCCATGCACCTACCAGAGGGACAGGTAGGGGTAAAGGTCGAGGGCGAGGGCGACGGCGACGCCAAGCAATAGACCATGACAATAATGCAGCGGATGATGGTGTTTCACAGCTTAGTGCCGTATGTGAAGGTGTGCCGGAGGTGGTATCAAATGATTGTACTACAGCCATTGGTGATGTGCAGCCAGCTTCCACAGAAGCGGGCGAGGGAGTCATACGTGCGGCAGCGCAAGATATACTGAGAGTATATAGTAAGAGACCCAGGAGACAAACCCATGGAAGGGGTTGTGGAACAGGGGGAAAATTAGGACATTAGGAACAACCAACATTGGTAAGTGTATTCAAACATTATGTTCAGGTGGTGTTTTCACTTGGATTAGTCTACATTGTTTAAGTTGTGGCTTATTATATAGTTCTTGCTTTTTGACTTATCTTATCTTGTAATTGTGGCTTATTTTATAAGATTCTAGATGCTGATGCTGCTGCTATTTTTGTTACTGTTTTGAAGGAAGGGGTAGCTGGTTGCTGGTTGCTGGTTGCTTGCTGCTTCTTCATTCTGGTTGCTGCCGGCTGTGTGTTGCTGCTGCTGGGTTCGAGCAGTGAGCTGATAATTGGGTATGAATTTTATGGTCTTAAAATAGCTTTGGTATCTGAAAAATAGTTTCAAAGAAGGATTTTCTCAGTCAATGTTTGGGCTTGCATATAGATCTTCCAAAAAGTTGGCCATAGTTTGGTCTGTTTAGTAGCTGTTTTCCTATTTTATGTTTGCTACTAGCCTCTTTTTTCCCTGTAAAAGGAAAAAAGCTTTGGGCAGTTAACCATTGCAGTTAACCTACTTTATGTTTGCTACTAGCCTCTTCTTTCTTCCCTTTTTCTTTTAGATGAAACTGTGGATAAACAAGCTGAAAAGCTGAGGAATATTTCTAGCAGGTATGAGCATGATAAGAAGTTTTGGGTTGCAGCAGTTAATAATTTAGAGGAGAAGATAAAGGTAATTAATGTAATCTCCATATGAAACATGGACATAATTTTTATACCTTCATATTCTCAATTTATTTTTATGTGTATGAAGTTCTAATATATGTCATTTATCTGTTGGACAGGTGATGAAAGAGGAGCATTCTCAACTCTCTCACGAAGCACATGAATGCTTTGATTCAATTCCTGAAATGAATAAAATGGTTTTCGCAGTTCAGTCCTTGGGTAAGTTTTACATGACTCTATGGCTTGGCATTTGAAGCATGCATTATAAATCTGAATGGAATCACTTTGCAGTTGCACAGTGTGAGGATCTAAAAGTCAAGTACAGTGAAGAGCAAAGAAAGAGAAGGAAACTATATAACGAAGTTCAGGAGGCAAAAGGCATGTTCAGTGTTTATCATCCTACATAGTTCAATAATATGTTATGTTACATTCACAACTTAAAGGTTCTAATTATTGTTGTTGAATGAATATCAGGAAACATCAGGGTATTTTGCCGATGCCGTCCTTTAAGCAAGGCAGAGGTCACAGCTGGGCATGAAACAGTTGTGGACTTCGATGCAGCCAAGGATGGGGAACTTGGGATCCTGAGTGGTGGTTCTACCAAAAAGACCTTTAAATTCGACCGAGTTTACACACCAAAAGATGATCAAGGTAGTTTTATGCACTACTACTATGCCATGAAATACACTATAAACACCTTTCAAATTTTAAACACAAGGAGTTTTCTGTTTCTGTTGAGAGTTGACATGAGGGACCAAAATGACATGAGGACCAAAGACTACGGTCACAATATGCCCTTTAATTAAACTGTTGTTACATATATGCACATGTTATCATTTGTGTTCTGTTCAGTATTTGAGGGTTCTGTTTAATTGTATTCTTGTTTTTCTAATCTTCATTGAATAAATTACATTGCTGTGAACCTTCTTATTTTTATATGGTTGTGCTATTCAATATTTGTTGCCTTATTCCATTTTTTGGTGATTTTTAAATTTTATTGGAAAAGGATTAGTAAAGATACTTTTAAAATTGATGGGTTTGTTCTATTCGTGTTGCACAGGAGGGCACTACCTTTGAGGGTGCCCTTGATTGGCTATGCTTGAATTTGCCCGGGAATGAGCTTCCATTGAAGTTTTCTACTGGCACTTCTCTCTACACAAATGAAGGTATTCTTAAGCAATTCTTTTCAATGGGAAATTTATTATACTGATAACTACAAGTTCATGGCAATCTATTGTGGGGACATGGAGAATTGTGCTTTAACATAAGTTGTAACATCCTGCTTAATCCAATCATGCTAGGAGGTGCTGTTAGCATCATATCAACTGCACGGGATGATTGGAGTCCTGTGGTGGATTCGTCTGATAAGATTGAGGAGGAAACACCTAAAAATTCTGTTAGAATTAAGGGACGTTCAGATGATGATACTCTAAATTCTTTCCAGCGATCACAAGCAGATTGGATCCGGCAATATGTGGAACAACAAGAAGAGGTACCCAGAATCCTTTGGCAAAATTCACCTCACTCATTGTCAGCTTGTACAAGATCATATAAACCAGCTTCACAAGTCTTTTCAGTTGGCTGTCCAAAAATTAATATGACTAAAGTTGAATTTTAGTGTGTATAAGAATTTCTGAATACTATCTATTTTATTGAGTTGTAATTTAATTGAAGATGAAGAAAGAAAGGTTCAAGCCCTTATCTTAATTAGTTCATTACTTAAATTTCTACATATCCAACCACAAGGTTGGGAACACTCCAACTCAAATCAGGAGTGGGGTAGTTTTGTGAGCTAAACTTATTTATTATTTATGAACAGGAGAACTAGAAACTTATGAAACTCCTTTTGAATAACTTTGTTAGGACCCCTTTTCTTTGTCTGTTATGTTATGAGATGATAAGAGCACCAAAATTTTAACAAGTTCAGAGTTGCTATTTTATTCCTTGACTGTTTCATATTCTTTTGGATTTTCATTGTATTTGTGCGGAAATGCCAAGACATGCTGTTTTTGTTGCTTGGAAAATTTCTGATTATATATTAGTACAAAGAGCTTGCATTGACAGTAGTCAACACTATGAAGGAATATGTTATGGTTCTCTGTCATTTGCAGGATGCTTCCGAAAGTTGGGAAGATGATGCAGTTGATGAGGTAATTTCAGTTTTTATTTATTTATTTATATTTTTTTTATGGTACGTAAAGTAATTATTTGTATTGTATTTTTTGGAGGAACATTAGTCATTGGTTTACATTTTTGTGACTTTAGTGTCTCCCTCTTATTAATTAGTCATGCAGGCAAATGTTCTGTGTAAGAGAGTTTCCTGATTGGGTGCAAGGAGGTTTAATTTTTGTTTTATATGCGAGTGTAGATAATCCTGAATCATGTGTGCTGAACTCAAATGCCAAGTTTCTTTTGTTGGATAGGCAAGGCACAATACGTGAGCCTAAATAATCACAGAGAAAGAATTCTTTTCATATTCCATCTTTTGTATTTTGTGAGAAATAAAAGATAAAGATACACTCCAGAAGTTGGGGAAAGTTCCACTGGAGCTTCAGTGGAGGCTCCCAAAAGGAAAATTACAATTTGTTTTAAAAAGAATAGAATAATGAACAAAATAGCATCTTGAAGTCGCACAACTATCTTCTCAAATCATGGATGGAGTCTTTCTACTTGCAATTTGAAGGATTGGCAGACTCTGGTTACGAAAGCAATGACATGGTTGTGGGATTATTATTTACTTCTAAAAACTTAATGTTCTTCCACTCAAGCAGAGAGAAGTCACATCCTTCTATAGAGGGTAAGGCACAACCCTAAAATTTCTAAAAAAGTACATTTTAGTTGGCATATGTTGACGTTGCTTCCTTTATTTAGAGCTCTTATGTCACAAAACATACTAGCTTTAGGACTCAAATAATCTTATTACCTCTTAGTTCACGTGCTAAGTTAGCAGGGGGTTATTTGTTTAAGCATAATAATTTGGGATGCTTATTTATTAATAGTCCTGCTTTCCTATTGGATCGTAGACCTATAACATGTCAGCTGAAAATATTCATTTGACACTTCTGCTATTCCCAAAGAAATTACTTTAGATTCTATTTTCTTTGATTCTTTTCGCACCTCAGTCACTAATCTAGGTTTAGATTGTTAGAATTATTGAAAGAATAAACAACAATTTTTAACTCCTTGTCCATGTTTGTTTGTCGGGATGGAATTAGGGGGATGAGGGGGCCGATTAATAATGTCGGTCCCAAATGTTATTTTTTGGGTATGCCATATGATATTCAGTGGATTTGTTATATATTCATGGAATTATTGTATTATGTTTCATTGTAGTGGAATAAAGAATGAGATAAGATTTGGTACATTATTTTTTCCTTTGGATGAAGAAAGGGAGATAATCCAGAGCAGAGGGGATATTAGTTATACATCTATACTAGGGGCTGGAATTAGTTATATTATGATTTTGTGGGATTGCATGTCTATCAGGACATCCAATACCCTATATCCAGCCAACTAAATGTGGGAAAGAATGGGACTAGGAGGCAAGCGAAAACATGTGGGCCCCACATGTTTTTTATCCCATTCCCTGTGCCTTTTGTGTCTAAAACAAAGGCCGATTACTGATCAAAGAAAGCCATGCTAGACACCACAATATTAAGACAGCATCACCAAAAAATTACCCATTGGCCTCAATTCTGGAAAGCTGGAATGGCATTCTGTTTCAGGTACCAAATGTACTTTGTTGGTTATGTCATTGTACCACTGTCATAATATCAGAATTCCATTGATTATTCTTCAATGTTGCTATGAAGTCAATAAAATAATGAGGTATCCTTGTCTTTCAACTCTTAAGCTTCTTCTTCCTGCTTTGGTTGTCCAGTAGAGATTGTGCTTGTATGGAAGTCCTCTTACATTTGTTAGCCAGACCAGTGTTGTCAAAGGCGCGCCTAGGCGCAAGGCGAGTCGAGGCTCAGCATCTGCGCCTGTATAGGTACTAGGCGAGGCGAATTGAACCAGGCGCTCGCCTTAGACGTGACTTGATCAAGGCGAGAGAGGCGCAAGGCGATCGCCTAGGCGCGACTCAATGTTCAAGTCGTAGATCTGATCTAACGACTCAGATAACCTTTCGAATGGCTCGTAATCACAGAGGATTACGACCCATGTACCATATGAGACAAATAGGACTCAGATAACCCTAATCGATCGATTACGAACCTGTGTTCAAAAAAAGAAGTCGTCTCTTCCTCTTCCTTTGCGACTCGACTTCGATCGACTTCTCACAGGTTCGAGATCGACTTCGCAGGCTCGAGTTCGACTTCGATCAGCTTCGCAGATCGACTCTCTCCCCTTCTCCTTCTTCTTCGATCGGCTTCGCAGGTTCTCTGTTTTTATTTTTATTTTTTTCTTTTCTTTTACCTTCGTCGAAGGTGATCTGTTTTTATTTTTATTTTTTTATTTTTTCTTTTCTTTTGATTATGATAAATAAATAAATAAATAAATAAATAAATAAATTCATAAATAACTTAATTAATTGATTGATTATGATAAATTAATTAATTCATAAATTGATAAATTGATTCATAAGTTAATTAAAAAAATAGAAAATTGATTGATTAATAATTGATAAATTGATTCATAAGTTAATTAAAAAAATAGAAAATTGATTGATTAATAATTGATAAATTGATTCATAAGTTAATTAAAAAAATAGAAAATTGATTGATTAATAATTGATAAATTGATTCATAAGTTAATTAAAAAAATAGAAAATTGATTGATTAATAATTGATAAATTGATTCATAAGTTAATTAAAAAAATAGAAAATTGATTGATTAATAATTGATAAATTGATTCATAAGTTAATTAAAAAAATAGAAAATTGATTGATTAATAAGTACATTAATTAATTCATCATTAATTAAAAAAATAGAAAATTGATTCATACATTACATACATTAAATTACATACATTATACATTAATAGAAAATTGAATGTAACATAGGAATAAATGTAATGGAATGTACATTAATTAATTAATTCATCATTAATTAAAAAAATAGAAAATTGATTCATACATTACATTAATTAATTAATTCATCACATAACATGCATTACATTCATTATACTGAAATTATTTTTTTGTTATTTATTTTTTGTGTTGTGTTGTAAGTACTAAGTAGAAAATGACATCGGAAAGTAATAGAAAAGATCCGGCGTGGCAATATGCCCATTTGGTGGAGGAGAATAATTTAAACAAGTTTGAGTGTAATTTTTGTGGTAAAGTATCAAATGGAGGTGTTTATCGGGTGAAACAACACCTTGCGGGAGGTTATAGGAATGTCACTGCTTGCCCGAAGTGTCCTTCTCATGTAAGAGAAGAGATTAGAGAGTTCATGTCCAAAAAAAGGACACAAAAAGAAGAAATGAACATGTTGCCTGATTTCGATGACATGGACATGGAAGATGAAGATGAAGATGATGATGTCGTTGAGATCAATGTCAATCAACACCGCAAGTTGACAAGTAGTAGCCAAGGTTCATCCAAATCCAAATCCAAATAAAAAACGCCAAAGAGAAAAGGGCCTATGGATGTTTACTTCACACCCAATCTTGAATCAGTGGTGAAAAATTGAAAAGACCAAGCAAAAGGGAAACAAACCAAAATTGATGCAAATGACCCTTACAAAAAAGAAATGAGAGCTCGGGCACTACAAAGATTTGCAAGGTGGATGTATGATGCTAGCATCCCTTTTAATGCAGTAAATTATGAGAGTTTTGGACCAATGATTGAAGCCATTGGCCAATATGGTCCTGGTATGAAGCCACCGACATACCATGAAGTGCGGGTTACCCAACTAAAAAAAGAAGTGAAACATACTGAAGATTTGATGAAGTATCATAAAGAGGATTGTGCAAAACACGGGTGTTCCATAATGGCAGATGGTTGGACTGATAAGAGAGGAAGGACATTGATTAACTTTTTAGTTAATTGTCCAAGAGGAACCATGTTTGTTGAGTCGGTTGATGCTTCTAGCTATTCAAAGGATGGGCAAAAGCTATTTGAATTACTAGACAAGTTTGTGGAGAAAGTTGGAAAAGAAAATGTGGTGCAAGTTATCACTAATAGTGCTGTAGCTAATGTGTTGGCGGGTAAGAATATTTCCTCATTCCTTACATCAAAATTGTTTACTCATAGTTTGTTTTGTATTTAAAATTTAAAAACTTGAAAATAATAATTCTTCATTATTGTTACATTATAGGGAGGTTTTTGGAAGCTAAGTATGAACACTTGTATTGGACACCATGTGCTGCTCATTGTATAGATTTGATGTTAGAAGACATTTTCAAGATACCTAGACTGAAAAAGACATTTGAAAGGGGTATTGCAATACATGGCTACATTTACAATCGGCCTACGTTGCTAAACATGATGAGGCGCTATACAAATTTGAAGAATTTGATCAAGCCTGCAAAAACTAGATTTGCAACCGCCTTTTTGACTTTGTCTAGGATGCATCAACAAAAAAACAATTTGAGAAAGATGGTCACCTCCGAAGACTGGACCTCAAGCAAATGGTGATGTTGTTTGGTTCAAACTTCAAACTTGTTGTTGCTTCTTCCTGTGGGAAAGATTGTATCACCATATAAAGATTTGATTCTGTGTGAGAGAGTCCACCATATTATGGTGTGATCACTTCTCATACCTTCAAATTTAATCTCCACCCAACAACTATCAACCCAATAAATTTCGATGGATAAGTTTGCAGCATAGCATTTTATATAGGGAATGGCTTCCTTCCAATCCAATCACGGATTGGAGAGTATTGTTGGGCCTGTGGGGGCTTACCACAGGTCTCGTTTTAATAAATTGAATTATTTAATGTGTAGAACTCGTCGAGTATATGTCTGTAAAAAATCAAGTTATCGATAGCTATGTGATCAAATCCGTTTTGTATGGAAAAAATAGACGGTAAAAAATAAACGACTTACAAATATCTAAGTTGATCACATAGTTATTGATATCCGATCAACGTAATTTTTTACAGGAATATAATACTCGACGAGTTCTACACATTGAACTATTTAGATTATCGAAATGGGATCTGTGGTTGGTTCTCAAGAGCCCAACAGTACCCTTCAGTCCAAAGTCATTCCCTAATAATAATAATAATAATAATAATAATAATAGTAATAGGAGTTATAAATAAAAGTGAATTCCTTGAGAATTTGACGTGGGCCATTGTTGCTAGAGCTTCTGGAGTAGAAGAAAGTAGCCATGCAAGTAGAGCAACAAGTTCACGCTCAAAGGCACAACCGAGGATAATCTAAATCATCAACATTGACTCCACTTCAATTAATAGATGAAGAGGAAGCGGGCTCAGATGACACAGAGGAGAAAGATGTTGAGGGATACAAATCAACTGATGGAGAAGAAGATGATAGTTTTCTTGCCATTGATGTTGAGGATGATGATTGACTGACACCGACCTAACCTACCCTTTCTTTTGATATTGATGTTTTTAAGTGTTAAGACGTATATTAGTATTTGTTGGATATTTTTGTTTTAGATGTTTAGTGTTTATGTTTTTATTTTATTGAATGTGGATTATTTGATCTTTGAAAATTGAAATGTTATGTAATATGCACTTTCATGGCTTTGAGAATTCTTCTATATTTTGTCTTGAATCTTGATTACTTTTTATTTTTTAAAAAATTGTCTTAGTATTATGAATGATTAGTCTATATTAATTTTTCTATTTTTTACGAATACTGTGCGCCTTACTTCAATAAAGCCCGCGCCTCGCCTTGCGCCTAGGCTCCAAGAGACCTTCGGCGCCTTAGTGCGCCTTGAGCCTTTAAAAACACTGAGCCAGACAAACAGCATAATCTCTCTTTGTTTTATGAGATATTCTCCTACAGTAAGATTTATGTTATTTTCTGACACAATGCAGTTGAATAATGTGACTTTTAATGTTCAATTTGATGCTTAATTGCTTTAATATTGCCTTCCTTTCCCCCACCCCCTGATAGGTTCCAAAACCAAGGGTTTCTAATGATTCTCTTGTCAAAGAATACCACAATGCACGGTTAGAAGCTATAAATGCCAAAGAGAGAGGTGACAAGAAAGGCCAACAACAAGCAAGCCAAATTATTCGCAAGCTCAAGCATGAGATTTCTGCCCTAGGTTGAACTAATTCCTTTGAGTAATTCTGTTGTGGTTTGGTTATTCAATAGCATTCTTCATGCAGTTTGAATTTGCTGAACAGGACTATGAGATGAAATCTTGGCATCTGGGCATGATAGTTCTTCCTTTAGTGCGTCTGACGATGCATTTCATAGCTTCATACCTTCCAAGCACCCTGAAACTGTTGCTTTGTGCAATGAAGAAGGTGACATGGCATCTGTTCTACCTGCAGTTGAATCAAAAGTAAATGGAAAGGGTCTCACATTACTGGACCTTTCACCTGAACAAAGTCCTGTCAGTGTTCCTGCCCAGGCTTTGGAAGAGGAATCTGGGGATGTAGAGCTTGGGAGTTTCTTTTTAGGAGATGTCTTGCAGGGTGACGTTTTGCCTCCTGAAGTTGTGGAAATACGAAAGAAAGAGAAGATGAGAGAATTGGCCAGTGGCAAGAATTTAGAGAAACTAGAAGGCATCTGGAAGAAGGTAAAATCAGCATTGCAATGAATGTGTTGTGATGATACTTAGTGTACTAGAGAAACTTGAAAATGCAATACTTGATTCGTAATAGATTCTGACTTTTATATTTGGTGGTGCATAATAAAATGTTGCTTTTGTGATTGCTTTTTACTTCTACTTCTGTTGTTGAAAACAATTTCATTGTTCAGAACATGTTATTCGTCAAAAGAAACTTAAAAACAATAAAAAAGAAAAATAGGATCTGGCAATTGCAATTCATATGCTGCAGGAGATAGAATAGTATATAGTGCATAATTATGTTGTTCATGTTCTCATAATTCTTTATGTACAAGTTTACAAACCTTTTATTTCTGTTTATTGGAAAGCCCTTATTTAATCTTCAACTTTTTCGATTCATGTTTGGCTTAGTTTTTGTTTTCTTGTCGTGTTTATTTGTGTTACTGTACCGTACAATACCTATTTCTTGTTTTGTGATGTGGTCTATATGGCTACAGGGGGACCCACAAAGGATTCCTAAAGCTGTTCTTCAACAGTTGTGTCAAAAATCAGGCTGGGAAGCACCAAAATATAATAAAGTTCTTGGGAAAGAAAATAATTCTAGTTATGCTATTAGCATACTACGTAAAGCTAGTGGGAGGGGCAAGAGCAGAAAAGCTGGAGGGCTAGTTACTCTTCAACTTCCTAGTCAGGATGAAACTTCTGAATCTGCTGAGGTACAGATTTGACCTCATGCCTTTACATTCACTGTTTGATATCATTTCTGTTACTAGAATGCACACAATGCATAAAAGAAATAAGAAGGTAATAATCATTCTGAAGATATAATTTGCATGAAGTCCAGGATCATATAGAGTCTTAACCTTTTGATGTATTTGCATTCGTTAGATTATCATCTATTTCTCTAAGTGGTAGTCTGGTGTTCTAGGCCTGGTTCGGGCAGCTTTCTTCAAGAAAAGCCCCACTACCTAGGGCTCCTGTCAATTCAAGGTGATAGGAAGGTAGCCTGTGTATGAGATCTAATCTTCAGCTGTATTTGTAGAAAGTGGCTGCCTCTGCCTTGAACCAATTTTCTTGAGCTTGTCTTCTTGACCTTGTATTTTTCCACCTTGCAAAAGCTTCTGGTTTTCCCTAATACAATGCATATATTCAGTCCTAAAATGCTTAGTGCTTTAGAAGCTACTAGGGGTACACTTCATTGACCAAGGCATGATGAAAGTTGTGATGCTTCATCTTTTCATGCATCAATTTGTGAGGTACATGCACCATGTGACCGTATTATGTTTCTGTTAAATGCTAAGAAGCATGGACACGGACACGTGACACGACACGGATACGACACGGACACGCCGACACGATAATTTTCAAAAAATGTAGGACACGACACGCGGGGGACACGCATGAAATATATAATTTTATATATTTATTATATGTTATATATATGAATATATCATTCAAAAATAATAAAAAAATGCAATATGACATTAATCCCTATAAATTTATATGATTTTTGTTTTATTATTGTATCTTAAGTTGTTTTGTTCAAACTTATAATTAGTTTCACATGTGTCTAATTGATAGACATGTGTGTTTAAGAGATAGACACGTGTGTCCTCCAAGTGTCCATAGAGTGTCCGGGTCTTTAAAAGATAGGACACGTTATAATACGTGGCCTGTACTCCACAGGTTTAAGATTTATCTGAGTCATCAATGTGAATAAGGTTGTGGTTTGTAAACTAAAGCACATTGCTAACTTTTGTTAATGATACTTGTAAATTGACATAAATACCTTCATCTCCTTTCTCTCTGCTGAACTATACCCATATACATAAATATATGTATATAAACCAACAAAACAAATCCCTCCCTTCCCTGCCACCCCTACTTCCCGGCCCACCCCCACGGAGGCTGACAACCTCGTCTTATGTTGCTCTTGACAGATTCCTCTAGTGCAAGCTCCACTTTGCTTAGCTGTTTAAAGAGAAGGGCTGATACAATCATCTCACAAAGACTGCTTCAGTTAAGAAAAATGGAGTGCCACCGCCAGAACTATCCAAATCTGAATAAAAAACTGAACCAGAACCAAATGCAGATTAAACACAGAAGCAACCATAAAATACAGACAATGGTTGTCTGATATATTCTTTTTTGCTACAACTTCAATTCGGGTTCGCCTCCTGCTACTTTCATTCTGATATATTCTTTTTTTTTTGATCTTGTCATGGTTTGGTTACAATTGAACTGAATCCATTGGTTCATAGGTCCTAAGAAAGTTTTTTTGGGCAGGATATTAACCATATCGAGGGAATGAATTTTATTCTTGTTTCAAAAACCTTCAAAAATGGGGGAAAGTGAGGTAAGGTGGCAGGGAGGGAGGGTTTACCAGTGAGGGTGGGGAAGTAGGGGTGGTGGTGAAAATGACAATGGCCTTTTCTATGATTTTGTAAAATATATATATTTTTTTGTTTTCCTGAAAAAACAACTCTAAAAGGCACGTGAGTTGCACCTATAGTTAATTTGGATGGAAATTATGGCAGTGCATTCTATTCCACACGTTGTCCCTTATGGCAGTGCGTTGTCCCTTATTCCTCTACTGTTTCCATTCTCTACCATTGTTGTCCCATTTACTGTTTCCAAGTGTCACGGCCTTGGAATTTCTGAACCAACCCTCAGTCTTTCCAAGCCAACCGTGCGGCCTTAGATGCTTGTAGCACGCCTTGCTTGCACCTAAGTAAGCCTTTTGTGGAAGGGAGCTAGGAGGATTGCACACACAAGAGAGTTTAGAGAATGTTAGCTTTGTATTACACTAGAGAGAAAGCTTACAACTTGGATTGTTTAGTTCTTAGTTGTTGGTTTGGCCAAATGAGGGCCTCCCCTTTATATAACCTTACAAGGATTATTCTAGAACTACTATGGTGGAGAGTGTTCTAGACACTTCCACCTATTATATCTAATAGACTATTCTAGAACTATATGGATGGAGGGGATTCTAGATCCTTCCCTCATCCTCAAAAAGCCTATTCTAGAACATACATACAATGCTTTATATTATTCTAGAGACTTCTAGGCAATGCTCCCATAGCCTTTATTCTTGTAGCCATTCTAGAGAGTTCCAGAACCCTCTAGCATCCTTCCTGGCCTTCATACTTTCTCAAGTCTTCCAGGAGCTTCCAAGCCATTTCAGTAGTCTCACTTTCTTGAGATTTCCTCCTGTTGGATACTTTGGCCTGGTCACGTTGGCGGGTCGTGACACAAGGAATCATTGACTGATTTTTATTAATATAGTCTTGCTATATCAATTGGTATATTCGTTGTGTTATTCATCTAAATTCATCTGAGTTAGTTATTTAATTTTTTCCTTCTCCATAAGCTAACTCGACTTGTTAAATAAATTGAACCATATTCTGTTTAAACAAAAATCAAGCTCTGCATTTTTGATTGCTTACGTCACTGGTTTTTGTTACAGATTGATAATGTTGGCATGGATACAATGATGTTTTTGGGCCAAATTGATGATGTTTGCATGGGCGCAATTTACATTATATTTTTTGTTTATGGAAAACATGTACAGCTGATATGTTTTGTTATTAAGTTTTTTTTTTTAGTTTGAATTGTAATTGTTGGTTCGGATAGTATATGTATTTGTTAGATTATACTATATTTATGGATTCTTATTTTCTTTGATATGTACGGTTAATAGTTAAGTTGTGTATATGATTGAAAATTGAATGCTACAGGTTGTGGAGAAATATTTTTATTGAATGGTTACGAATTGAATGAATGAATGAATGGATGGATAAATAATTTTGTATATGCACAGGTTATAGGTGACAAATAATTGAATGAAATAATTTTGAATGAAGAATTGAATGAATAATTGAATGAAATAATTTTGTTTATGCACAGGTTACAGGTGAGAAATAATTTTGGATGAATAATTGAATGAATGAATGGTTGTTGAGAAATAATTTTGTTAATGTGGTTCTTATATGAATTCACCTTGTGTAGGTTCTACTTACTACCACAATGATTCTGCCTTGCCTACGACCACATTGGCCCTGACAGATAATTGTTTGAAGGGAACGGCCATATGTCAAATTTTAGGGTTTAATGTTAAGGGTTGGTGTGGACGACTTGTGTTTTTACCATCTCAATGCCTGATATTTCCTGCTCCTAAGCCTTTCTTTTGTTGTAAGTATGATTATACACTTCAGTGAGCTTTTTCATCACGTCTGGCAACCAAGTTTCAAATTTATTTTGCATTTCTTCTCAGGTGTTGTCCCTGCGTTTGATCCCATTTTTGTCCCTCAAGATGTCGACACATTTGATGTTGAAGCACCAAACATTGCAATGCTGAGTCTGTCACCTGCTCAATCTAACAAATAATCTTTGCTTACTCCTCTTGGTCAGCCTTTAGGTTCTTCTCTTTCGGGGCCATCGGGTCTCAGCCCTCCCCCAAAATTTTACAAGGAAACATCATGACAAATTCAATTGTTGAGGTATTCAAGCAGGCTGCAGTGTGCCTTCAGGATGATCTTCTCAATGTTTTGAAGTCAAGGATTTTCATGATGATGAGTCTATGATCCTAGAGGCCTGTTTCATTTTTTGTGCTATAGATGCTCTGTTTGTTGATTCTCAACCGTTTAAAGAACAAGCGGAGGAATTTATTGGTTGTGTAGCATAACTTGCTGAAGTAGAATTGTCTATTAACAATTTTGTGTATAATGATAAAGACTTGTTCCTTTCTTTATGGTTGCACCTCTTATTTATCTTGAGCTCTTTTATTCTGGTTTTTATGTTGAGCAGTGACTTTCAAATCCCTTGTAAGACCAATCCAATCCAATCTTTGTAAGACCAATCCAATCCAATCCGATCTCTTATTTCCAATTCCAAATTCAAACTTTTTTTGAATTCTCGGATCATTTTCACCAGGAATTACAAGAGGAAGAGAAAATCAGCCTTGAGAAAACATTGCTATATATAGCACATGTAATTTGAAGTATGATTTAATAGGGTTTTTGTTTTGAGTAGTTGTTGTTGTTAAGGGTAGTTTATATTTTATTGAACTAGTAGGGTTAACTGTGTTGGATTGAAGAAGTTTTGTTAGGCTGAATAGAGAAAATTAGGGTTAGGGTTTATGATGGAGTGTAAGACACATTTTCGTTACTGGAGTGTAAGACAATGTTGTTGTTCATCTAGCTTACGGATGTATTTCAACTATTTGTTATATGAACCTGAAGTTTATGAAATCATTACATTTATAAGTACACAAATCCATTCATTGAACTATTTGTAGAATTCCAAGAACTATTCAAAAACAATTGAAATATCTCCCTTCATTGATAACATAGAGAATAAGCATTACAAATCCATTACAAGATAAATGGTTTGGTCATTCATCCAAACAATTTCATTCATTATCATCATCATTTGACATATCAATATCAGATTCATACATAACATCCATGCTCCAGGCGAAGTACTGGTGTGCATCATCCATTAACCCATCTTCGGCACGCTCATTTGCGGTCTTCATTAGTGAGGACCTTTGCGAACGTTGGGTCATGCGACTAACTTCGTCGCGGATACGATGCAATGCCCTTTGCAACAACTGTGGAGTGTCAGTCAGATTCATACATAACATCCATGCTCCAGGCGAAGTACTGGTGTGCATCATCCATTAACCCATCTTCAGCACGCTCATTTGCGGTCTTCATTAGTGAGGACCTTTGCAAACGTTGGGTCATGCGACTAACTTCGTCGCGGATACGATGCAATGCCCTTTGCAACAACTGTGGTGTGTCAGTTGGCATACGCATGGCTAACCGGCGAGGAAATTTAATATTAACTTCACGACATAACTCAACGAGAACGTTTGCTCGAGTTATGCGAAATTCCCACTCAGCTCTCATGGTATTGACGGTGGCACGTGAGTAATGCAAATTTGGATTTAATGGGTATTGAAATTCATCTCCATTTATACCATATATATACATGGTAGCTGTATGTATGAAATTATTGTAAACAACTATGCATCAGAGTTGTCACGTCAACTTTTATGACCTGAAGAACTATGCATCAACTTGATAGGAGTTGTCACTTGGACTTTTATGAATTGCATAATTTATTGTTATTTCAAAACAAAAAGTAAAAAATTTGTGAAAAAATATTTCAAAAAATTAATAGAGCGAGTGCAAAAAATTAGTAGAGCATTTCCTGTTCGATCACATGCATGCCACTGGCCTTATACCGTGCATTCGGCTACCATGAACGAATCTAAGGCCTGTAGCATTGGCTGTTGTGCCACAGATGGTGTCAGCCTGGCTAGTGTATTTGATGTAAGTTTACCTTCTTTTAAAGGCAAGTTGAAAATTAAGAGGTTGTTTGGGATGATCTAAATAAGTGTATTTTTTGTCTTTTTACAATATGTTTCTACAATATATTTTTCTACCCATTGTTCAAACCACTTTTTGTACAATATTTTTTACTTTTATGTATTTATTAATTTTGAAATATTTTACGATCAAATTTTTTTTACTTTTTAGGAGGCGGCCAATTTTATTAATTTATTGTTATTTTGTTCTGACACCCCCTCAAAATTTTTATGAATTGCATAATTCACATGGACACAGTAGGTATGGTACGATAATAAATTGTAGCTCGGCGCAGTGATACGTCCACCATTTCTCAGTGATGCTCGCCAGTGACTTGAACAGGCGTAATACTTTGTGCAGCGATGCAGTGATGCATGTGACTTTGTGCAGTGATATAGTGATTCATGTGACTTTGTGCAGTGATGCATAGATGCATGTCACTTGATGCAGAACAAGAGGAAGAGAGAAGCTCCTATGTATATTATTTGATTCAAAAACTTAGGGTTTCCCCCTTACACACAACTACTTATACTAATAAGAATAATACATAAAGACCAAACTACCCCTAACACTTAACAGTTTCTTATGCTGAGACTTGTTTGTTGATTTATGTATTTTCTGCTTGTTCTGTTTCTGTAACTTTTGCAATAATGTCATCCAGCTAATCAAAATTTTATGGTCTGACACATAAGCCCTGTATCTCCAGGTTCCACTGCAATTTTGGTTCTTTTAAGAGAGAGTCACAACCATCCATTACTTTTAAACAATTGACATTCTTTGGCAAAAGTTAAAAAATGTCCTGGCAAGTGCCAACAAAAAGTCCCTTATGAAGACATCAAAATAGCTTTTTGATTCTTTATTCATTACAGAATGGCTTGTTTACCCCTTGTGGTTCAACATCTCTACAACCATAGAAAATAGAGGAGGTCCTTGCCTATTTTTAAAACACCCTGGTCTCCCTGTATTTTTGCCAAACCTCATGGGAGGTAAGTGAAATTAACCATATTTTTTATTAGAGTCGGCAATATAGTCCTGATCAGTGGGATCCTTTACGTGGCCTGTACTCCACAGGTTTAAGATTTATCTGAGTCATCAATGTGAATAAGGTTGTGGTTTGTAAACTAAAGCACATTGCTAACTTTTGTTAATGATACTTGTAAATTGACATAAATACCTTCATCTCCTTTCTCTCTGCTGAACTATACCCATATACATAAATATATGTATATAAACCAACAAAACAAATCCCTCCCTTCCCTGCCACCCCTACTTCCCGGCCCACCCCCACGGAGGCTGACAACCTCGTCTTATGTTGCTCTTGACAGATTCCTCTAGTGCAAGCTCCATTTGCTCAGCTGTTTAAAGAGAAGGGCTGATACAATCATCTCACAAAGACTGCTTCAGTTAAGAAAAATGGAGTGCCACCACCAGAACTATCCAAATCTGAATAAAAAACTGAACCAGAACCAAATGCAGATTAAACACAGAAGCAACCATAAAATACAGACAATGGTTGTCTGATATATTCTTTTTTGCTGCAACTTCAATTCGGGTTCGCCTCCTGCTACTTTAATTCTGATATATTCTTTTTTTGTTGATCTTGTCATGGTTTGGTTACAATTGAACTGAATCCATTGGTTCATAGGTCCTAAGAAAGTGTTTTTGGCAGGATATTAACCATATCGAGGGAATGAATTTTATTCTTGTTTCAAAAACCTTCAAAAATAGGGGAAAGTGAGGTAAGGTGGCAGGGAGGGAGGGGTTAGCAGTGAGGGTGGGGAAGTAGGGGTGGTGGTGAAAATGACAATGGCCTTTTCTATGATTTTGTAAAATATATATATTTTTTTGTTTTCCTGAAAAAACAACTCTAAAAGGCACGTGAGTTGCACCTATAGTTAATTTGGATGGAAATTATGGCAGTGCATTCTATTCCACACGTTGACAATACCACAAGGGATAAAGTGAATTTTTCCGAACAAACTCTAATTTGGAGTGTGATACCAATGACTGTACGGTTATTGATGTCCAGTCAACTAGCTGTTTGGCTCTTGTGACCAGCAGATGAGGGTAGTTAATACTCTTTTTTTGGCTTGATAACAAGGTGAATCTTGTAAAATGTTTGTGTGGAATGTAAGAATGGTCATTCTTGAACCATTTATAATTTGATACCGGGTCATTTATATATGTGTATGTAACAAATTATAATTAATCAATTTTTGTATTCACCCTACTCCTTCTCAGTTCCTTGGCTGTTTCACATTCAGAAAGATGTGCTTTTGTTCAGCTTTCTTCTGTTCATGTTTTTATCTTAATAAAGTTTCCCGTCTGAAAATAATCAATGAATTGAGTTTTTGCTTACCTGCCTGTGAATTTCACTTCCTTAAGTACATCTGGTCTCAGGATGCACAGAATAGAGTTGCAGCATTTGCTCTCCATCGCCTGTTTCCGGATCTCCCTGTCCACCTGCCTATTATAGAGCCTTATGCTTCACTTGTTCTACACTGGGTGGAAGGTGACTTTTCTTACATTCTATGACGTCAAATTGGCAGAACTATCTTTTCTAAGGCTTTGACTTCATTGTGTACTGTAGACTTGAAATTCCTTTGATATGGAAATAAATCTCAGTTTAAATTTCCATTCATACTGGAAGTATGATATGTTGTTTTTGGACCTGTAGTCAATTTCTCTATTGCTTGAAATTTTGCAGGGGAATTATCAACCAAGATAGGAGACAGTGAGGAAGATCGAATGGCTGGTTTTGTGGATTCATTGTTAAATGCTGATGGCCCTGAATCAATTGCTTCTGTTGATGCCTTGAGTGGTTCTCTTGAAGAAAAGTTTCAAAAACCACTTATGCAAGAAAACATCGACTCAACTGCTGCTCCAGCTAGTCTAAAAGCTGAAAGTATGTTCATGGGCTTCTCCATGGGCCTTTTCTTGTCTAAAGTAATTTTTATCCCTTTTATCAATGGAAGTGTGACTTGGAAAATAACAAGGGAGACAATCGACTATTAGTCAGGGCTTCGGTGCCTAAATTGATGAGGCCTTTAAGATATTAATTAGGGGTTTGCAAGATGGCTTTCATGCTCAAAAAAGATGTGATCCTCCTCAAAGTCTTCTGAATCGTGATTCATTTTTTTAATATACAGGTCTCAACTATAAAAAAGAAGCAGAGAGTTCTTGTCTGAGACAGGAGCTAGAGAATAAAAAGAAAATGCAAAGATACAAGGTTAGTATCTTCCTCTTTTACTTCTCCTTTGGAAAGTGATCTGGTGGAGAGACTTCAGTAAGTTTCTAGTTGTACCTAACATGCCCTTTCACATTATACCGTTTTTCCTATCCCACTTGACTTCATGTCCTAGCAACTCCTGCACTCATGTACTATTGATCTGTCACAATGATACAGTATATTGCAGCTATCTACAGCACTAGCAATGCATTTTTTTAATTAGTAGGTGCCATTGGAAGTCAATTATGCTGTGAGGGTATATTGGCACACAAGTATGCTGACTATGGCATGTATGAACTGGAAGCTTTGGATATGTTTGTTCTCATTCTGTATTTTAGAAAGAAACACAAGTCTGGATCCTAAATGTTTTTCCTGTTGTTCCTTTTTATTAAGTATACTGTATAAATTACTTGGTTTAGGGTGTAGTACTGTAACAAAAGTTTGTAACTCTACCATTACATGGAATTTATAACATATGGTTAAGTGACATCAAGAAATTTAATATTTAATTCTCAAATCCCTTATTTTTTTTGGGATAAATTAAGCTGATGGAGATGAAGAATACTTGTAGTCTTGGGACTGTTTCTCTTCTTTCCAAATTACTTAAATTCATGAAAAAAATACATGGAGTACTTCAACAATGGCTTATGACCCATTACAATCACCTTATGAAAAAGGGGTCAACCATCAATTAAGAAGCATGTACATTCTAAGGTGTCTGAGGTGTCATGTATTGTTGGACACCATGTCAGACATGGACATGCTGCGATACGCATCGGACACTTTTCAATACCTGTTCTTGTCGGACACACATCCAAGCATGTCATACTAATTTAAAATTGTTAAAATTGATGTATAAAAAGAAATAGAGAATTGTATTATTGATTGATATATAGTTATGTTTATTACAATGATTCATGATTCCTATATATAGAAGATGGTGAGTGTGTAGTAGGTAAGGAGTAGGTGAAGTGGAGGTGGTAGTGGTGTAGTGGGTTAGGTTTAGTGGAGTAGGTTTAAGTGGGTGAAGTAGGTGATAGGAACTAGCCAACTTGAGTTTGGAGAGAGTAACAAAACAAGTGAGTAACGCAAATTTGGATTTAATGGGTATTGAAATTCATCTCCATCTGCAACCCAATAGCGACCCATTGCTGAATATAGATCAACCACCGTATATCTCATGATGATATCGCTCGAAATAGCTGTAAAACTTTTGTTGTGGTATGATGCGATATTTATACCATATATATACATGGTAGCTGTATGTATGAAATTATTGTAAACAACTATGCATCAGAGTTGTCACGTCAACTTTTATGACCTGAAGAACTATGCATCAACTTGATAGGAGTTGTCACTTCGACTTTTATGAATTGCATAATTTATTGTTATTTCAAAACAAAAAGTAAAAAATTTGTGAAAAAATATTTCAAAAAATTAATAGAGCGAGTGCAAAAAATTAATAGAGCATTTCCTGTTCGATCACATGCATGCCACTGGCCTTATACAGTGCATTCGGCTACCATGAATGAATCTAAGGCCTGTAGCATTGGCTGTTGTGCCGCAGATGGTGTCAGCCTGGCTAGTGTATTTGATGTAAGTTTACCTTCTTTCAAAGGCAAGTTGAAAATTAAGAGGTTGTTTGGGATGATCTAAATAAGTGTATTTTTTGTCTTTTTACAATATGTTTCTACAATATATTTTTCTACCCATTGTTCAAACCACTTTTTGTACAATATTTTTTACTTTTATGTATTTATTAATTTTGAAATATTTTACGATCAAATTTTTTTTACTTTTTAGGAGCCGGCCAATTTTATTAATTTATTGTTATTTTGTTCTGACACCCCCTCAAAATTTTTATGAATTGCATAATTCACATGGACACAGTAGATATGGTACGATAATAAATTGTAGCTCGGCGCAGTGATACGTCCACTATTTCTCAGTGATGCTCGCCAGTGACTTGAACAGGCGTAATACTTTGTGCGGCGATGCAGTGATGCATGTGACTTTGTGCAGTGATATAGTGATTCATGTGACTTTGTGCAGTGATGCATAGATGCATGTCACTTGATGCATATGATTTTAGCTGACAACTACGTCCGTGACTACATGACAGGTGCACTTCGTCACGGGTACTCAGGATTGCATGAAATGAATAACATAAAATAATATCACGGGTATCACTTCTTCCATAGTGCCCCAGCATGCATTATCGTCACTAGATCATCTCTAGTTAACCCCCACTATGATGTCTATAAATACCGATACCCCCAGTATGATGTTTGTTCAAGTCATAACAATAGTAATATATCTACAATTGCTATTATTATTTGTTTGTTCATTTTATGAACAATGTCTTCAAGAGGTGCAGGAAGTTCACGCCGGCAAAGAAATCCGAAAGTGTGGCTGCTACCTCCATTTAATTATGACTACAAGAGCGAAAAGTACTCGAGTCCGAAGGATTATTATGTTGGTATTCGAGCAGAATGGGCGTTCAGGGTAACAGAGCAAGAAGGATTGTTTAATGATATACGTAACTTTGGGGCATCGGTACCTCATCGTCGTTCATTGATCATGGCTAGACGAAATGTGAGTGACTATGAAAAAGCAGTTAGCAGAATTAAGAAGGAGAACAACAGAATGTTAATGCGGAGATGTCGACATTTCATGCTTCAGCTAGCCACCGAAATGGCAGAAGCAAGCAACAGAGATTTGACAGTGATTGAGTGAAATAATGTCTTAAACAATGAAAAATATCTCTTTGACTAATACATGTCAGATGAGGAATGAGAAATCAAACACCTTTATCTTTCATATATGTTTGTATGTTGTCTCGTATCTTCGTTACTGGAGTGTAAGACAATGTTGTTGTTCATCTAACGTACGGATGTGTTTCAAGTACTTGTTTTATGAACCAGAAGTTTGTGAAATAACTACATTTATAACTGCACATTTATTAGTTCATGACTTTCTTTATTAAATTGCAATGAGTTAATGAATGTTCTGGATTAATGAATGGATTAATGTATGTTGAATTATGTGAATACTTAAAACACATAAAACAGAACAGGTAGCTCGGTGAAAAGCTTCCCGTAACTGGGGCCCGTGAAATAGGGATCCTCTACGTAAAGAATTTCAATCTCCATCAAGAAAGAAGAAAGAGTCGCCTTCCAAATCTTGGAAGTCCAGTCAAAATGATGACTCTAGTAAGGAATGGGGGGTTGATAGAAAACTAAACTTGGGGGGCTGGACAAACAAGCTCAAAGCCAAGTGGTTGGTCCAGTTGGGGGCTAATAAAGTTCAGACAAACGAACTACCGCCTTCAACAACACATAAAACAGAACAGGTAGCTCGGTGAAAAGCTTCCCTCAACTGGGGCTCGTGAAATAAGGATCCTCTACGTAAATAATTTCAATCTCCATCAGGAAAGAAGAAAGAGTCGCCTTCCAATTCCTGGAAGTCCAGTCAAGTATGCCTACGTAACCCACGTTTCACTCACAAGATCCACCATTATTTTAAAGTTTATTTCAAAAGTTGAGATTGTAATATTTCGCAAAATATTACAAATTCAATATTCAAAAGCTGATTTTAAAATAATTCCAAATGACCACCAATATTCAAGTAGGCATACTTTTCAATGAAATACAAATAGTTGGTCGTAACAAGGAATGATGCATAGCTAAGTGAAAAACAACATTGCCTACATAAGCTTCCTTTTCTATTACAGTCTCAATTCAGAAAGTCACATGGCAACAGTGAATTCACTGATTTACCTTACAGTGAGCATGCCCTTATTTTATCCGTATATGTAGATGGATTATCAGGTCATGTGACTTGGTGCACAGGCTTTGGTTTTCTCGATTTTTTTTGTTACAGTGGCAACTCATCTTTTATTGATATATGTGGGATTCTTAATTCAGAAAGTCACATGGCAACAGTGAATTCACTGATTTACCTTTACAGTGAGCATGCCCTTTTTTTGTCCGTATATGCAGATGGATTGTCAAGTCATGTGACTTGGTGCACAGGCTTCGGTGTTCTCGATTTTTTACTTGATTTTTTTATTACAGTGACAAATCATCTTTTATTGATATATGTGAGATTCTCAATTCAGAAAGTCACATGGCAACAGTGAATTTACTGATTTACCTTACAGTGAGCATGCCCTTATTTTGTCCGTATATGCAGATGGATTGTCAAGTCACGTGACTTGGTGCACAGCCTTTGGTTTTCTCGATTTTTTACTCGATTTTTTGATTACAGTGACAACTCATCTTTTATTGATATATGTGAGATTCTCAATTCAGAAAGTCACATGGCAACAGTGAATTCACTGATTTACCTTTACAGTGAGCATGCCCTTTTTTTGTCCGTATATGCAGATGGATTGTCAAGTCATGTGACTTGGTGCACAGGCTTCGGTGTTCTCAATTTTTTACTCGATTTTTTTATTACAATGACAAATCATCTTTTATTGATATATGTGAGATTCTCAATTCAGAAAGTCACATGGCAACAGTGAATTCACTGATTTACCTTACAGTGAGCATGCCCTTATTTTGTCCGTATATGCAGATGGATTGTCAAGTCACGTGACTTGGTGCACAACCTTTGGTTTTCTCGATTTTTTACTCGATTTTTTGATTACAGTGACAACTCATCTTTTATTGATATATGTGAGATTCTCAATTCAGAAAGTTACATGGCAATAGTGAATTCACTGATTTACCTTACAGTGAGCATGTCCTTATTTTGTCCGTATATGCAGATGGATTGTCAAGTCACGTGACTTGGTGTACAGGCTTTGGTTTTCTCGATTTTTTGCTCGATTTTTTTTTATTACAGTGGCAACTCATCTTTTATTGATATATGTGGGATTCTCAATTCAGAAAGGAATTCATAAAGGATTATGATTTTGAATTGCATTATCATCCGAGAAAGGCCAATGTTGTGGTTGACGCCTTGAGTAGGAAATCAATTAGCAGTGTAGCTTGTATTGCCATCTAGGAATGAGAGATGTTGGGTACTCTTGGGGAGTTTGACTTGCATCTTGGCGAGTCTGTTGAACCTGCGACATCGTTTTCAGTAGTTGCACAACCTACACTTATGAATCAAGTGTTAGATGTGCAGAGGGGTGATCTCGAGGTAGAAACCCTTACGGAGAAGATTTCCAGTGGGAAAGTGGAGAGGGGCTTGAATGTGTATCCCGACCAGAGTGTGAGATACTGTAATCGTTTGTTCGTGGCGAAGTCTTGCTGAGAGGAAGTTCTCCGAGAGTTTCACCATTCATGCCTTGCAGTGCATCTGGAAGGCACAAAGATGTATCATGATCTGAGTCGCCAGTTCTGGTGGAAATGTATGAAGAAGAATGTAACCGTGTTTGTATCAAAGTGCCTTACTTGTCAGCAAGTGAAGGCCGAACATCAAAGGCCTGGGTTTTGTTACAACCCTTGCCTATAGCCGAGTGGAAATGAGAACATCATATTATTCAAATGTCAAATTCAAACTCTTTACTTGAATACGTGTGCTATCACATGCCTTGATTTGACTCACATGCCATACTAGTAGCCGAGCTTATTACTTATATGTTGTATTTGTTGCATTAGTCTTGTTGCATTAATTAGGATCATGCATTTTTTCTAACTATTTGCTTTCTTTTGACTCACCTTCGGACATAAGGTAAGCATTTTTTCTTTAGCATATTGCATGAG